TAAATCACTGGGTTCTGAAGGACTGAGCCTCAGGTTGGGACTCTCCACAGCCCTGAGTTCTGGACCTCAGGCTACCATTACAAGCCTCTCTAGGATATGCCACCACTTAGACTTACAGTGATCTTCCAGTCTATCAGGTGAGCTGTAGTATTTTTCTGTATGTTTTTAGTTTATGTCAAATGTGACGTAATTAGATCATCTCAGTCTGCAAAAAATAGGATTATTTTAAACTAGTTCTCCCTATGTTTGCCATTGGAAAAGAGCTCATATAGAGATACCTGTGCTGCACGTTACTTTGAGAGAGGATAATGTATCTAAGTTCTTACACTCTTTCTGTCATAAAGAAATATAATATTTAATCATCTTTCTCACATAAGTAACATAATAATAAAAAAACTATATTTGTGCAGTATTTTGAACATACAAATAGTTTTTTTAAAAGCCAAATATTTGAAGAAATCATCTCTCCTTGTTATGAGTTAGTTCATTGAGATGGTCATGTTTTTAGGGTCTCTAAAAAACCAGATTTTGCAGATTCTGGGGTTTTTTGATCTTGATCATCTATGAAAATATTGATATCTTCACTGCACTGCTGTGAACATATATTTATAAATTTTATAGGGTTCATTTACTGTAGCACTGTTGCAACAAACTACGGACAATGGAAATCTGTAAGAAAGTAAATAAATCTATACCAGCAACCATTTGGATGAAAAATAGTAAACAAAAAAGAGTCAGACCACTAGAGTGTAAGACAGTTACAAATATTTAATTCAGTCCTATATCCAGAATGAGTTAGGTCTTGTGGAGAGAAGGGTAGTAAGGCATCATGTAATTAAAGGCTCTGTCCTCCTGTATATACTAAAGAAAATCATCTAATTATATTGGAAATTACAAATCTAACATAGCCTAAGTCTTCCACACTTAATACTGAGTTGTATTTTTCTAAAGTAAGTTTCTATAGAGACATAATGTCATAGAAAAATATAATTATTACATTTAGTTATTAGAAATGAGCTTTCTTCAGCAAACAGCTTGTAAAACAAAAGACCACTGTCAGCCTTTGTTGATGGTAGATAATGACATTGAGAAGTTTTCAGCTGGCTAAAAAAAGTAATATCAAAACTAATGTGGAGTCACACTGCAGCTGTACACACTTCCTATACCTCAGGCGCTTCCACAATCCTTGCTCCTCCTGACTGCACCCCAGAATACAGACCTGAAGCTCAGTCTTCACTGCAGAGCAGCGTGAAGTCCTCATATAGAACCCCATTCCCTGTCATCATGACTTCTGAAAGTGGTGACACTTTTTTTACCCACGCTGTTTTTGGATTTGCTCTTGCAACTGGTGATATTATAAACTATGCACTGCTTTAGATGTAGATTTTTGTCTGCAGGGAAAGAGCTAAGAGAATGCAGCCAAAAGCTGTTTAAGCCTAACATGATTCTAGACTTGAGAAAAAAAAAAAATCGGTGTATTTTTCAAGATTCTTTTTCCTAGCTAGAGCTGGAAATAAAGCCTAGGTGAGAGTATTCACACTCCAGTTTTACGTAGGCTGTGAGATAGAAACAGGTGAGAATATGCAGGTTTCTTAAGGGTTTACTTAGATTATAGTTAAGTCTGTTAACACTTTGTAAATAGTAATCTAGGGCTCTTAGAAATGTTTCTATTTATTATTATTTGTGCTTTGCACATGGCAAATGGAACAAGAAGGATGAAGCTGTTTGCTCTGTATCACACAGAACTAAAATACCTTTACTTAGAGCCCGAATTCCTAACAATTGGATTAATTTCCTAAGATGGCCTCCATTTAAGACTTGGAAATAGGTGATGATTTTTACTCTTTGCCTAAAGAAAATAACTTAGTATTCTTGGAAACTTGAGAGTAGTGATTCCTTTTCAGTTGGTAACTACAGGTTTTAATAAGTGATAAAGTGTTCCAGGAAGTTGGAAGACCCTGCTTAGATTTCTAGAAGTTTAACAAAAATCTATAGAGGAAGAAAGGGAAGTCATGATTTTTCCCCATCCTGAGCAAGCCAGGACTTCATAGCAAAATACCAAGGTTCATCTACTTCCATGACTTTCTTGCAATTTCTGATTTTCTTGTTTTTCAGCTGTATATATGTGTATATAAATGTATTTATACTCAATTCTGATCCAAAGGACAATTTAGCCCCTTTTCAGGTATATGTCAAAAAAACAAATGGTATGAAACTCTCTCCACTGTTTAGAAAATGTGACTAAATACCTGGTGTACTCTGTGTAGCTGTCTTTTAGGTAACTGAGATTGGGTGAAGTTAATCACAACCTTAATAATTAAACTTCTAAGGGACAAAAGTTTTAAATTTCATTTGGGGGAGTTACTTTCATTAAAAGCTACAGATTGTGTGTATCTTGTCATATCATATAATTAATTAAATTGTGTTAAAGCTGAAAGAACACAAGGCTTGATACATATGCTAGTCTTTGGAATTTGAGATAAACCTGTTTTGTACCCCATGCTCTGTTGTGGAGCAAGAGTTTGAAAGTGGTCATAGAGAAGCACAGCCCAATGCACTAGAGCTTTGCACAGACCATTCAAGGCTTCACTTTGAGCTCCCTGTGTGCATCATTCACCTCATGGAAACTGTCCTATGGAGTTTCCTGGAAGTGGGTTTTCTGTACTTCTGTAACCTTCACTAATTCTTTCCTCCACTGGCTTTTTTGATTAATTGTTTGTTTAGTAAAGTACGAGATTTGTTTTGGAGAAGGCACTTCTGTTGATAACCTTCAACATTTTCAAAAGATAGATCAGGCATTTCTATCTGTATTTGAGCATTGAAGACATACTTTTGTTTTCAGAAGCACTGACAGCTGCAGGTTTCACTAGCCTTAACTTCAGGTTCTCAAAAATCAGGAGTCATCACTGGCATGCAAGACCTACATGTCCTGACCCAAACATCTTTCTTGTACTTCTTGTCTTGCATCTTTATACAGATACTGTGGAATTTAATATATTACAGATTCTGAGACAGCCAGCTGGTATTAATGAAAACCAGAGAACTACTGAAGATGCATATTTTACACTAATGTTTTACTAATAGCTGGAATTGCAGCTGAAGTGAGCCTCCTTTATTTTTCTAAAAGAATCCCTAATGACTGGAATATGTTGCTGTACTCTTACACTGTAGTGAGGATCTCCAAAATCAGGTAAGTAAATGAGAACATAAATTATGTAAGTATATGCATTTTTCTCAAGATTAAAAAAATTAAATGTAGGAGAATACTCAGCATGAAGCTGAGTATACATAAGATACTGTGGACCATACTATTAATAAAGATGTTAGGGTGCCAGTTATTCCCAGACCTTACTGGCAAGTTCTGTAGGTAAAGATGTAACCTCTCTGCAACATGTAAGTTTGAGTAAATAATCTCTCCTTATAACCCTGCTACAGTTTAGTTAGGGCTGAATCTAGCCTTTAGGCTGTGTCCTGAACTCTCTTTTCTCTCAAAGTCAAATATTTTTAGCTTTTATTGACCTGACCAGCTGACTCCACTCAGCATTTGTTTTTGGTCAAATGCATTCTCCCCTCTGTGTCTAAACTGACTGACCAAAGAAGTTGTATTCTTCAGACATGAAATGGATTTTTATTACGGAGGTCCACAGTGCAGATCATTGGAAGTTATGTAATAATGTGAAAGGACATAGAATTGAAAGGTTGTCACAAGATAAAAGTGTACTAAGCTTCCCAGAGCACTCGCATTTGCAACTCATGAAGCCTGATGACACTGAAAAAGCAATTCAGTGTTTAATGCACGCACCTCTGGTGGCAGCGCTCCAGCTCAGCACTGGCTGTTGAAATATCACAGTCTGCAGCATAGGATTTAATACAGGAGTTTTCCATTAAAGATGTTGGCTGTTGCAGTTCACAGTAACTTCTAGCTCAGCTCACCTGCTGGGGACACAGTACTTTGTCCTTGAGTAAGCAGGATTGCTTTCATCCTATTCTCATTGGAGCAGAGAGGAATTAGGGTGTGAGTACACATGGAGCAACGTACAAGAAGTGAGTAACTGCAATACAGGCATATATTATCATTGGATTTGTTTTAAATCTCGAGCAATAATACATGTGAAATAAAAGTAAGTCTGTAACTATCCTGACATTCTCCTAAATGTGCAGTAAAACAAATAATAAATAATAAAACTGTAGGTTACAGTAATCAAATTCAAATCAGTTCAACTGCATAATTTTCAGTGAAGAGGTGCTTATGGAACAGAGAATAGACTGCAGAAGGGAAGGTTCATTGCTTCCTAATCAAAAGCAGTCAGCTTTAAACACCAGCCAGTCAGGTGATAAGTTTGTCATTTCTCAGCTGTGCTCTAGGAGGGAATTTGCCAAGAAGGCTTGACAGCCTTTAAACTTTGCAGAGCATTTTTTTGCCTGTTTCTGAACACCATGTTGATCTAAAAAAATTCCTGGGGACTTGGAGGAGAGGCACAGTAACAGCAGTTCTATTAAAATATATTTGCTGCAATGAGTGTCAGTCAGAGTTTGCAGTGTGAAAAAACGTGCATTTCCAGAAAAGAAATTTTCACCACTCCTCAGGTCTGTTTCTTTCTTGTCTAATTCTGTCCATCTACTTTGGGGGACTGAGGAGTGTCAATCATTAATTGCCTGAGTGTCAGAGAAGTAAAGGCTTGTAACGCATCACTAAAAGCCAGAAATCGTAGTGTCTGATGGGAAGCTTTAAATGAATATATTACTGCTACATACAATTAAGAGCCAAGCCAGAAATCATTTATTTTCATAATTCAGAACAATGACAACTCTCCACTGAAAACATATTTACAGTAGTTTTACATTGCTTTCTAGAAATTTCTTACAAAAAGGAGAGACAAAAATTAATATGCACCAAGGCAGTTCCAGAGAACCCTGTCTTTGTGCTGTTCTTTCATTTTAATCAGCATGAGCTCTGCTAAATAGGGGAAAGAATTATGAGTAGGTGGCAAGCATCTAGGTTACTGAGGGCAAATCACTCTCAGGGGAATAACTTCGCAGTTTGAACAACAGAGTCTGACCTTGATGTTCTTAAGATGAACAGATCTTCTCTGTTTTAACACAGCAGGAACAGCAATTGCAAGGCAGCCAACCTGAAGTCCCTCAACCACCTTTCTCTATATGAAGGTCTGTTCTCCCTTCCCCTGGCAGTTATACCATTGTGCTGGAAGAATTTTCTAATGTCTTCTATTTGTATTTTCTAATGTCTTTTTAATGTCTTTTTAGTGTCTTCTATTTCACGTCCTCAAGTGTGGGACCTTACATATGTTGTAATAGTTTTTGGTATTGGTTGAAGTCCCATTAAGCTTCTGAAGTTCTTAAATTGCTTCTTGGAGGGTTTGCTTTCTTTTTTTTTTCCTGTAACTCAGGTTATAAAAGTAGCACCATAAACATTAATTGAAGAGCCATTAAGCAGTATGGCTGTTTGTTTTGGTTGATAGAGGATATAAAGCTTCATACCCTGTGGTGGAAAACAATTAGATATGATGATGAACATGCTATTAAATATACCATTACCAGACTTCTATCAGTTTAACTTTAGAAAATAGCAACCAGCTGTAGCCGAAGCATACACAAGTGATAGGAAGTCATATTTTAATTGTCATGTCATAGCCTGTTATAAATATTGTCGTTTCTAATGTTTTATGCTAATGACAGTGAGTAATAGGAGTCATTACTTCCATTCATTCTCATTAAAATTTCCTCAAGAGAGGATGATCACAACCAGAATGCTGTTTAAAATAAACTGTTTTTCTAAAATAGAGCACATAAAAAACATTTAAATACCAAGAGGTTGGCTAGCTAATTTATTTTGTGATAGCATGTGTTCAACAACTGCAGCTTTTGTTAATTGTGCCATCAGTTGAATAGATATTCGTTTTAGAAACGTTTTTGGCATACTAATGTGTGTACATGTCATGTCTTCATATGGTCTCTGAAGAGTGGGATAAAAGGTGAATCTTAGAGAGACCAAAAAAAAAAGTCTTATGCTACCCCTATAGAGGCTTAATATTAAGAACATTGAATTTCCTCATCCATTTCTTATTTCAGTTATGAATTCTGCTTACTTGACAGGTACAGAGTACTTCATTATGTGCACGAACAGAAATGCTTAAATGGATGAAGCAGCTATTTACGTCTGATAGGAGCTAAGTGGGACATTAAATTAATGCCAAACAAGTGAGTGCTCATTTTAGTTTCATTATAAATGGCTGCAGCACAGCAGTAATGTGTTGACTCTCATGTGCTGACAAGTTCTATATTTCTTACAAACTTCCCTTAGAGCTCGATGTGGAAAGACAAATTCACACTCTGGATGATGAAATTAGCAGCAGATGCATTAATAATTGAATAAGGATCTCTGGAGACGTACCACAGTTCAGAAGGAGAGCTGTTGCCAGGCTGGTTTAAGTAGAGGCTTCTGTCATATATATATGCACTTACATAAGCTCTGAGTTAAGAGCTGCTGCCTGTATGTAGCCTTTGGTATCAAATCCGCTTCCTGCTTTAGAAGACTTTGCATAGTTGCGTTTGACAGGTCCATGAGTAGAGTTGACAACCATTTATCTGGGCAGACTGTGCCCTTGCTCATCCTTCCTTCCTCTCTCACTGTTCACAAACTTAGAGGCAAATTCAACACAGTTTCTTTTGGATTTGTCTCCAGACAAGGAGTGGGGTATGAGTGACTGAAAGACTTTCACTCTATGCCAGACTCTTGTCATAGGCCTCCATTCCTGTAGGCTTGAAAGTTTCCTGAAGTGCAGATCTCAACTTCTCTCCCAAAAGGATTAGGATACTGAACTGCCATCTTCTTTTCCAGCAAAGGTGATTTAACCTTTGATTTAACCACATACACAGGTTTGGGAAGGAAGGAATTTCACAGAATCACACAATGGGTAAGGTTGGAAGGCACCACAGTGAGTCAGCTGAACCAACCTCCCTGCTCAAGCAGGGTTGTCCTAGAGCACATTGAACAGAGGAGCCCAGAACTGGACACAGCACTCCAGGTGAGGCCTCACCAGGGCTGAGTAGGGGGACAGAATCAGCTCCCTCAACCTGCTGGCAGTGCTCTTCCTAATGCACCCCAGGATACTATTGGCCTTCTTGGCCACAAGAGCACACTGCTGGCTCAACTTGAGTCTTTTTGACAACAGCGAAGAAAACAAGAGGATTGCCAGAAAAAACTCTGGTTTTAGAAGATACCACTGAGGCCAGCCACGATGCAATTCCTAATAGTTACATTGTGATCACTCCTAACATCGAGTAATATCATGCTCAGAAGATAATGACAACACAATGTGACGTTTCATACACAGCAATACTACTGGAGCAAATCCTCATGGGTTTAAAATCAGAATTTTATTGCACTAGTGTCAAGAGTGTGATAGCAATTTGAACAGTCTGAAAATTTGTCCCAGTTAGAAGAAGAGTGGCAAAATTTAGCACACTGTTATTGTACTGACTCCACACAGCTCTCCTAACTATCCATGCAGACTTCAGCCACTGGTTTTGACTGCACAGGTTGAAGTGGATTCTGTGTTTTGCTTTCCTCCAGTTATGGGTTATTATATAAATCTCAGGATCTAGAAGACAGAAAAACATAGCTTAAAATAAATGCCAGTGTATTTTATGGAGTTTCATCAACTAAAAAAAGCTAATTATAATCTTAGTTTTTTAAATATATTGCAATATTTTGCATAGGCTACAATATAATTTAATAAAGTGGTACTGTCTTTAAAACAATACTCAAGACTCAACTGTCTTTAAAACAATACTTCAGTTCCTTCTATTTAAATATGCAGCTCTTTTTATTCAATAACAGTGCATATGTTATTTATTCAGTAGGAGTTTAGTATGAATCTTGTCATAATAGAAATACTGAATTTGAGATATTTTTAAGTATGAGAAACATTTAAACAGTTTCTGTTGTCACTTGAAATAGGAGCTAAGTCCCAGAGATTCATATTTGTATAATGAAGTAATGTCTCCATCTATTAGACACCCTGAAACATCCTGCAAGGGGATCAGCTGAGGAAAGAACAGTACACATTTTATTTTGTGATACTGGACACAATACAGATGTTAGAGATCAGAGGCTATCAGATGAAGGAGTAAGCAAGCATGCTAAAATTATACCGCGGTTTCAGCATAAGTCTTCTTTTGGGGTACTTGAAACAAAGATGTGAAAATTAAACTGGATTTACCTAAACATTTTTAGTAAACAGAGGTACCATTTCAGAATTAATATATTTCTTTAGATTCACACATGTATAATACATTTCATTGCTGTTTAAAAAAGTAATGTTACCATAATCTGAGTTTTGAAGGAAAAGACTAAATACTTAAACAAGGTCATGAACTGCTAGATGAGAAGAATATATGTGAATTACATAGACTAAAGAAACGGCATCGATGGGGACATGGGCAGTGAGATCACGAGTCATTGACTATGGCTTTGTGCTTCAGAGTGGGTTTAATCTTATTGACTGCTTTCCATTCATTCTCTTATTTCCATTGAATAAGATTCTAAATCTTCTCCAGGTAAGAAGTGAATATTATGCAATCCAGTAGATTTTGTACCCTGTTTTTAGCGTATACAAGGCACATCAGTGGTGCCAGTGTTTATTCTTAACATTCTGTAGTAATCACCAAATTTCACAACTCTGGGCGGTCATGACTTCTGTAAAAGCAAAGAGATATTTCTAAAGCCTTCTACTGAGTAATAAACCAGTGGCTTTTATCCAGATTTTGCAGGTCACTGAATGTTCAAAACAGCAAAGCAAATTAAAAGAGCCCCTTCTCTTTTGTTATCATGGTAATTTTGCACTTGAGTATATGATGATGTGCTAATGTAAAAGCTACTAAGGAAGATACGGAGGGATCTTCTTCTAACACTGCCTTGAAAGGTAGACATAAATGTTGCATTTCAAACCACAACTCTCCTTGAAATTTGATTTCATTTTAAAAGGCATCTTGAGCACGAAATTTTTGTTCCTTATTAACTTCCAATCAGATGACTCCACACAGAAGTAAAAACATAAATTTCTTATTGTCAGTCCTGTAACCTCAGCCTGAAAATCAAGTGGCTACTTTTTGATTTATGTCTCATCACTATTATTTATGCTTCTACAGGCCAGAAATTTTTTTTCCCACTCCTACATTCACAACCTTCTGGTCTTCACAGTTTTCCTCAGTTGTCCCTTTCTCTTATTATTATGTCTCTTTTGAATTGTTGCCCAGCTATTGTTCAGATGCATCATTTTTTGGAATAAGTTGGTAAGGCTCTTAGTATTCCACTCCTGTATTTATACTGTTCTACAGATTTCCCAGAAGAATAAATCATTCCTTAGACTTGATACATGAAATGAGGGGGAAAAAAAAAACCTGACTTTTTTTTTACATATTTTTCTGAACTTGAACAAGATTATGGAGAATCTGGTAAATGCTGCACCCTCCATAAGTACTCTGTTGAGAATAACTTGTAAGAATGGCCAACATAACTGAAGCAGAGTAAGATGCTGCAGCAGCAAAGTATTGCAGAATGTCAAGTCTTTCTTTGGGATCCCTTGAGATGACAGACTAAGCATGAGCAGTGTCCATAGAGAGTCCTAGCCTACTGTATTCAAGCAAAACAAAAACATGGAGAGGGAGTCACTGTGGATTTCCAGATTACCCTCTGTGGGCTATGATAGCCGTGCTGAGCTGGCAAAGCCAAAATTTCAACACAGAGTTCTCAACAGAATGTATTTGATTTCTTTCTAGCCCACCCTGAAAAGAGAAAGGGCAAGTGTTCTGATGTATTCTCTGTAAACCTTCTTTGAATTTTGTAAATTGGATGGGATGCTAACCACACAGAATGATCCAAGCTTTTGCAGAAAATGATACCCCTTCATTCATCCCAGCAAGTAATATCATAATTCTACTTTTTCTCCTTCTGCTATTTGAGAAAGTAGGACCTGTTTTTTGAATGTCCCATAGGAGAAGTACAGCCTTTTCTGACCACAGAAAAAGATTTTTAGTTTTACCAGCTTTTCCATTTTAGTTTCCAGTCTACTGAAAGAGACCTTCCTCTCCCATTAGAGTTTTCCTTAGTCCCCTAACATTTCTTAATCCAATTAAAGTTGTCACCTTTCTTGCTTCCCTTCTGTCTTTCTGATAACGCATGCATATTGCACAGGATATCTCCTGAGTCTGGAATTTAAATGGCTGTTTTAAACTTCACTGTGCAAAAATGTCTGAAATTGGGCAATAACACATGCAGTTCCAAAGTCTTCCTTAATGCACAGTTGACCAGCCATTCAAGAAATGGATTTTTTCTTGAAGGCCTCATTTAGGGAGCAGATTCGCTACTGCTGAAACAGTATATCAAATTTTGTCTTTCAGATACTCTTCTTAAATGTCTATCTCCCACACAGCTGCAATTTCCTGTCCTTTCTCTTACCCTGCCTTTGCTAATCGTGGCTCCAGTGGAGTTGATATGAGATGTTCACATAGGTTTTTGCAACTTAAAAATGCCAGCCTTCATGGGACTGTGAAGAAAATTAAGCAGACAGAACCAGCACACAGTATAAATAGATTGTGGTTACAATTCTTATCCAGGCTGGAGATTCAGTCCATGCACTTTCATCCTCTTGTAAAGTAATATTTAATACACATCCCCACAGATGTATGCTGTGAATGTCTCCTCTAATGTACTTCTAAACGTGTCATTTTAGGATATAAAACTTTTTTTAACATAGTGCAGTAAAGGACTTTTAAAAAATAATTACAGGTTCAAAGGCTTCAGTTAGGTCAGCAATTCCTGAGTACAAGCAACTGAATTCTCTTAGTTATTCACTAGTCAAATGCACTAAGAAAGTTAGAAGGGCAGGAATCTCAAGATGGAAATGGAAGTTGGAAACAAAAAGTGAGAGAAGATGGAATACTTTTTTCTCTGAAAAATAAAAAACTGTGTGTCTCTGATGCTACCTAGCAGGGACAACTGAAATTCAGGCGAGGGGCAAGGCATATTGCGCTTTCATAACAGTGCTTGCATAGAAAGTACCCATAAAGGCCCAGGGAACACCAGTAGCTTCCAAATCAGGTGACAATGCAGACTTAAAGGATGACTTGGAACAACTCCTGAAAAATCCTGTGCCCAAACAAGAACAGAAAGCTGGATGTTAGCCCAGGAAGTTTCCTTTCCAGGGCAACAGATTTTGCACCCTGTATAGCTTTAACATCATGCCTACGTGAAGTTAAAGGCTTCAAACTGAACCTAGCTTTTGGCTTGTTTGCTTCCTTTTAAGCAGTGGTCACACACAGGCTGGTAATGAACACATCATTTCCCAGAGTATTAAAATAAGCAACAAATTATCAGTGTTTATATAAGTAAGAAATAACACACGTTGGAATCACTCTCTTATAAGGGTTAAAAACTAAAACTATCAGCATGAACCATCCTCATTTCTCAGGAAATGGAGCACAGGATAAATACTACGTGTGTTGGGAGTGTGCTGTATATTCCCCTTTCACTTTTGCTTGGTGGATTTGGTGAAATAAGCAATTACACTGATAAACAGAGGACCTCTTTCTAATGATGGTATGGACCCAGGAAGAGATGGCCTGTTGGATAACCAGGGCCAAACACAAGCTAAGGTGAAAACTTCAGAATATCAGCAGGTTAAATGTAGGGGTAGGTTCCCCAGAAATAGTAACTGTGCAACAGAGAAAGTTCCTCCCCAGTCTCAGGAATTTGATGTCTCATTTTTGTCTTGAAGGGGGAAGGATTTACTTTTTTTTTTAATAAAATGTCACATCATTTTAGAGTTTTTGTTAAACGTTAAGAAGAGTAGGTTCCTCTACAAGATTACAGTGGGGTTTGCTGTGTTCATTCTTATTGATGGCTTAGGGAGTAACATTTTCAATGAAATTATGATTGTTCCCATTGCACATAAACACGTATTTATGATATGTATTAGATGCAATTCAGTTCAGTGCTTACCAGTAATTAGGCTTAGTGACTTGTTCAAGCTCATTCTGCATTTTTAAAAAAATTGTTTTTCTCTGACCTCTTCTGGTTTTGCTTGTTTCTAAATTATATTAGTAGTAAGATTTTCATCAATAGGGAGCACTGACACTTCAGCCACTAGAACTTTTCATGTGTTTTATATGCAGACTAAAGCACACTTTTGGGCTATAAATCAATCTAATATTGTAATTGTGCTTCCTATTCAACTGTTCACTGTTTCTTGAACGTCTGTTATGCATTAGGCAGCTGCTTCTATTGGGATGAACACAATGGCTTCTAGATATTATTTATGAATACAGTGAATTTAAATTCAAAGAATATATAATATAATCCAGACTTCTGAAGTACATCTTTCCACATTTTGTCAAATTGTATGTTGGCATATCAGTTATTTCTCAGTTGCCCACCTTAACATAATCTCTGAAATTTCTTAACTGTCTTTTCAGATCTATCCTGCTTATATTGTTGTGTACTTCCTATATTGAAATTTCACTTTCAGTCTTATACCTCAATTAAAGTATATTCAGCATCAAACTTTATATGAATACCAAGGTGGTCATTCCTACTGCTTGTTATTAGAATCTCATCCAGCTTTTTGACTTCTTACAATCAACCTTGGTCCAGAGATATTTTTAAGTTATGACAATAGTGACATAGTACAAAGAGTAAGATTTTTTTTTATGACTGGTTGTTTAATTGGTAGTTGAGTGGGAAGTATTTTGAATACTTTCTATGAGAGCAGTTTCTATGAAATCAGAAAGAATTATATCTCTGTAGAACACCACAGAAGAGGGTACAAGGACTATGAGACTTTTGCAGACTCATCTAATGCATCATATAGTGACAACACTGGAAAAAAAGATCCTGAATTACATAAAAAAATGTTATCTATGTCTGCTGTTCTTGTGGTGCAGACCTCTTTCTCAGAATTTCTACTCAGTCTGTACCCCAGAACTATTTTCTGTAATATTGTAGTATGTTTAGCATTCTCCTAAATATACTTTTGAGTAAAAAACTGTTAATATGTAAATATTTGTGAACTGCAGAAAATCGTTCAGCTCATCCCAGTATATGTGGACTCACCTGGCAGAATGAGTCAGGTGTAACAATACGATGGAAAATAATTCACTTAGACAATATAATGTATGGGCTTCAGAGGTACACACAGCTCAGTAGAATACTGCATATGCCTGTCCTGTCAACAAAAGGGGAGATATTTCTGTCACATGGAAAATGATTTGCACAACTAGCTCTCTGTGAGAATCTGAAAAAGGAACAGCAAAACTGATTTTGTCAAGGACAAAAGGAGAGTGAAGGGCAACACAAGAGGAGACAGTAATACATTTAGGCATTTACTTAAAGAGACTTGAGTGATCCTGATCTGAGCGAAGGACAGTTAAGAGTGATATATGTAATTACCTTGAAAAATAAATATGAGAACTCATTTAAGCTTTTTACTAAAACCACAAAGGGCTGACTTACCATAAGCTATAAAAGATGTCATTAAATCATCAGCTTTTAAGAATAACTGCCTGTTGTGGTTTCTGAGATGCTCCTTTCTCTACCAGTACTCTGAGTAATTGTATACAATGCCCAGAATTGATACCTATAAGGAAATTCCAGTGTCAGACAGACAAAGAAAGTAAAATGTAAAAAAAAAGTCATATCTTACTACAGTAAGCATTCCTGTTCACCTCAGTGAGTTTTATCATAGCTGTATACGTTGTAAGATTTGTCACTAAAATCGTACTATGCTAAATATATGAGAGTACAGAAGACAGGTTAATAAATGGGCTACATGAAGTCAGTTCATTGCTGCTCTGTGGAGTGTAGTCTGTGTACCAATAAAAATCTCCATGTTTTTTATTAATTCCATTTAAGCAGCACACCACCTCCAAATATTTATAGAGATCAAGCAGACTCACTTCAGGACAAGTCCTTCATACATACTAGAGGTATCATTTCCTGAAATGTAAACAGTTGGCATCTGCTGAACCCTAATCCCTAAATCAGAAACACAAATGTTTGGATTAACAAAAAATGGAAAGCTTTACTCTTTGTTGTTGACCTCCTTGTACATATTTTTTCACTTTCAGTGTTAATGTGCATGACTAGCATTCTTTATCCAGGACTGGAAATGC